TATGCCATATTCATTTCATCTTTCCCTCCCTTTTTTCTGACTTGGCATAGAAGCATTTACAAGCAAACTATAAACTAATTTTTACCCATGCATCCTTCAATTTCAATCTCTTAAAGAAAATAAAGACATTTACTTTATAAATAATGCGATTAAGAAACCTACAAAATTAATAATTTCTTGGTATAATCTAACGTTCCAGTTCATGATCAGGTTTCTCCGCTTGTCTCAAGAACCTGTTTTTGTAGTGGATATGTTCAAGTTGATCCAGACAAGATCCTTGTGTGTGTGTGTGTGTGTGTGTGTGTGTGTGTGTGTGTGTGTTTCTCATGCCACCTGACCTATCGAAGAGTTCCCCTGTAGAATAGCCCACATTTAGGATTTGACTGTTTAATTTCTGGAGGTTGTCATTTAACTTGTTCCTCTATCTTTCTGTATTTCCAGTATTTTGAAGCCAGTTGTTGAAGTTTGATTGGGTTCAGGTTTTATATTTTTTGGCAAGAAGACCTAATAGGTAATGCTGTGTGAAATAGCTGATTTTCAGTATTTTATGGGGTTCATGGAAAAGTTCATTTTATTTTAAAAATAGAAATATTTTCCTCTGATAATCATGGACAAGGACAATGGACAAGGAAATCCTATCATACTATCTGTTTTTCAGTGAACAACATGCATGGAGCCATGTTAAGGTAAACTGCTGTTTACTGGTTTTCCACTTTTAAAATCAAAATATAGTAAAGAAGGGATCCCTGGGTGGCTCAGCAGTTTGGCGCCTGCCTTCGGTCCAGGTGCAATCCTGGAGTTCCGGGATCGAGTCCCACATCGGGCTCCTGGCATGGAGCCTGCTTATCCCTCTGCCTGTGTCTCTGCCTCTCTCTCTCTATGTCTATCATAAATAAATTTTAAAAAATCTTAAAATATATATATATATATATATATAGTAAGATAAGAAGATTTCATTGCGTTTAGGCAACAGAATGTAGTTACTCAGTTTGTCAACATCAATTAGGAGAAGTTGGGTAGGGAAAGTAGGAAAGGCACCTGCATCCTTATCTACAAATGAGGGGATTAAGAGATATGGAATAAAAATCAGAAGTTTAGGTATATTTAAGATTACAAAGAAAACAGATTATAGTTTTAGAATAATACAATTATTAGAAATATGGAAGAAAGTGTTAGTATAAATGACCTTTAATCTACATCTCTCATATAAGAGGATTAGTAGATAAAATCTAAAAATGTTTTTACTGCTTTTGTTAAATTAATCATCTTTATTTAAATTCTCATAGAGGTAATCAACAGAGAAACTTAGGAACAGACTTTTAAGGTGGTTGTGTCTGGAGAGTGGAGTGGGGGTGGGAGGAATGAAAGGGATTATTACTTTTTACCGTACATTTTTCTAGACTCTTTGTTGTGGCTGTTTAACCATGCACATTAATTAGGGAAAATAATACCTTTTTCTCCTTAGTCTTAATTTTGACCCTAAAATGTAGTTTCATCAAGTAAAGTCTACTTTAATGTAACTTTAGTTTTCAAATGTGTGATGACAACAGGTCAGATATATGAAAGAATTAAGCATACATCAGAAAAAGTCTTTGTACTTGGTCGTTGTAGATCTAGAGCCCAATAGTAGTGAATTCTGGCTTGCTGAAAGAAATGTTATCAAAGTTCTATGCACTTAAGGATTTGAAATGCTTGCCTTTTCAGTTGTTGCCATTTGTTTCCTGATTTGGGGCCTCTCTGTCATGTGCAGAGCCAGTGTCTTTAAAATTTTAGTATATTTAGTTTTTAAATTTCAGTGTAATGACAGCATGCCACAAAGTAACAAACTGCCTCAAGAAAATGATCCTGAAAAGAAATGAGAGCTCCAAAAATAACTTCTGTGGTCAACTAAAGAAAAGCTAACGATAATAAACTTTAGGAGGGTGATAGATACTTCACAGAGAAGTTTCACTAATTGTTTTAAACTATGAATGGTTAGTATCTCCCTATCCAGAAACTGATCCACTATATATAATGAATATAGACAACTGAAGAATTTCCAGAAATTTCAGAAGGTTGCTTTTCAAAAAAAAAAAAAAAAGAAGAAGAAGAAGAAGAAGAAGAAGGTTGCTTTTCCTGAGCAGGAGAAATCCCACATTTCATTGGAAGATCAGATTTCATAACTCACCATACTTGAAAGAATGCAGAATTTGAAGAGTGCTTTAGGCAAGAGATGGAGGGTCAAAATGATCTCTCTGGACATAATCCTAGTTGAAAAGAGAAAGATGTATGAAAGCTTTGAAACAATGCCATGGAAAAATGTAACCTGGCAACCATTTACTTCATGCTTACTAGTTTTAGCATGATGTATTCAGATTTAAATTACAGATGTCTTTAACCTAAGTTTGTTAGTTGCACAAAACTCTCCCCTCAGAACTTTTTTTAATGTAATGAAATCTCTGGTAATGAGCCCTGAAGTTTCTTTAGTCTCAGGAGATACTGAGTTTAGCTCTTCTGTTGAACTCCTTTGTTTCCTTTTTCATCTCAGATTACTAATTTTCATTCATTATAAAATCTGGTAGAAGAATATAATATGTATATTTATATAATTCATGTATTCTAAGAATTATTTACTTTTCAGTGACAATGATTATTTATAGAATGTAGTTATTAAACTGAGCAGCGGATATGAAATCAGACTGAATCATAGTCTTGGCTCTAATCCTAGATTATAAAACAGTGGACAAATCATTTAATTTCTCTGGGCCTATTACCTCATTTATGAATAAAGGAGTCAGATTCAACCCTTTAATCCGTGATTCTGTTTCACAATCAAAATCGTTAAGGTATATATGTAATGGAAGATTTTATGAAGAGTATGCACAACCTTATTATCCTCAGCTCTTGCCATGTTCCTTAAACTAATGAAGTGTGGAAAACATGAGATGATTTTTCCTTTTGCCTAAATTCATAAACTGACAGAACTTATAAATTTGGCTTAACTTTTCAAAATTTCTGTCTAAGGGAGGAAAAAGAAAAACTCCATATTAGATCTAATAGATACTAAACCAAAATGATATATAATTTAATTTTTTAAAGTATTGAATTCACAAAGGAAATCCAGAGAGTTTTTTCCAGTAATTATTGCTACTAAATAATGTACTCCAAAACAGTGGCTTAAAACAATAATAATCGTTCAGTTAGCTGATGAACCTGCATCCTGGGTAGCTTTCTTCTGCTCCACACCACATCAGCTGAAATAGCCCAAAGATTGGGGCTGATTAAGCATTTTCTCCGTTCTCCCCTTTATAACAAAACACCTCAAAAGAGTAATTCTCTTCTGCTATTTTCCCTTTTTAAGATTATTTTTAAAAATGCTTCACTTTGAAATAATTTCAAATATAGAGAAAATCTGTCAGAAGGGAGAAGATTCCTGTATCCCCTCAGCCAGATTCCCCAGTTACTAACATTATTGAATTTGTTTCATTGTCATTACCCCTTCCTCTCCCTCTCCCTACACACACACACCCCTAAACATGCATGACCATTCATTCTTTATTAAACCTTTAGAAATAAAGCTTTGTACATGATATCCCGTCACACCTAAATGTTCCAGTCTATATTTTCCAATGAAAACATTCTCCTATGTAACTGACATGCACTTTCCAAACAAGGAAGCCAGCATTGTTAAAACACTGCCACCCAATCCACAAACCTCACTCATATTTCACCATCTCAGCAGTATGTCTTATGATATCTTTTCTGATCCAGGCTCCTATCGACAATATGTGATTCATTTAGTTGTCATATCTGTTCAGACTCATTCAATTTGAAATAGTACTGTGGTCTTTTCCCTTGATAGTTTTATTGAGTACAGACTTGACATTATGTAGGATGACCATAAACCTTGATCGACTTGATGGTGACTGATAACCATACTTAAGTCACACATTCTTGGCAACAGCACCCTGAAATGAAGTTAAGAATTACACGAAGTGATACAAAACATCAACCTGTTGATCACTGGTCATGTTAACCTTGATTTCCTGGTCACCTTGGCATCTGCCAGATTTTCTACAGTAAAGTCACCATTAGTCCTTTTGCAATTGGTTAGTATTTTGTAGAGAGTTTTCCAAGAGTATGTTCCTCATCTAACCTCCACCCACCAGCTTTGGCATCCATTGACAACTCCCATATGAATCAAACACCTGTGTGATAGTTGCCAAGTGGTGATTTTCTATTTCATTTGTTCCTTCTACATTTATCAGTTGGACACTCTACTAAAAGGAGGAGCTTTTCCTTCATTTATTTATTTATTGATAACATAAAGAATCATTAATAACCATTTTATTTATAAGAAGTAATCCATTATTTACCATTATTTATTTTGAGGTTAAAATGGTCTATTTGGCCAGTGGGAGCCCCTTCTGGTTGCTTCCTGTGTTTTTTTTTTTTTATAACTCCCATCATTCACTGAGTATTTTCTTTCTTTTTTTTTTTTTTTTTAAATTTTTATTTATTTATGATAGTCACAGAGAGAGAGAGAGGCAGAGACACAGGCAGAGGGAGAAGCAGGCTCCATACACCGGGAGCCCGATGTGGGATTTGATCCCGGGTCTCCAGGATCGCACCCTGGGCCAAAGGCAGGCGCCAAACTGCTGCGCCACCCAGGGATCCCCTTTTCTTTCTTTTAAGCATAGAAAGTATCCCAGAGTCACGTTGTATTTTCCCTGGCCCAGCCCTGGAATCAGTCTTTTCTGCAGATAGCTCTGGTTCCTCTTAGCAAAGGATAGGTATTTAGAAAAAAATATCGAGCCCTTGATGTGCTTAATGCTATGGGAGTATCATCATTTCTAGGGCCCCTCAGTCAAAAAAGCTAGGAAAATACATATAATGTTAGAAGGAAGTTAATTTTAATATATTGGAGCTTTGATTGCAAGGCATTAACTAACAGCATTGCATGCTATTACAATCAGTGAGAAAAAAATTAACTTTTGTTTTCTTTCTTCCTCCTCCTCTAGGTATGTGTAATCCTCGAAACTATAGTGACACACCTCCAACCTCAAAGAGCACGGTGGAAGAACTTCATGAGCCAATCCCTTCTCTCTTCCGAGCACTCACAGAAGGAGACACTCAGTTGAACTGGAACATTGTTTCCTTCCCTGTTGCAGAAGAACTCTCACATCATGAGAATCTGGTTTCATTTTTAGAAACCGTGAACCAGCCACACCATCAAAATGTGTCTGTTCCTAGCAATAATGTTCACGCACCTTATTCCAGTGACAAAGGTAATTCCCCACAGTTGACTTTCTGTCTTGCCCCCTCATTTTCTGTGTGGTCTGTGAAACCTTTATTTATCTTTTAGAGCAGTTTTTGGTTTTGAGTTTGTCTTCTCTTGAATTATGGACTTTAATAACCCTAATCCCTAAGTAGATAAGGAGGCATGTCAAGCATATTGTCACCACTCCATAGCCTCAGTGATAGAGATTGTGTTGAAAGATAGATAACTTGGTTCTAATTTTGATGTTTGTATTAGGCTTTAATGTTCTTTCCATAAGATAGCAACAGAGCTGCTTGCTTAATATAGTATTGCTCACTGTCAGATAACATTCAGAGTGTCCTAGGCAGTCACATTTTTGTAATAGCATTGGTACTACAAATGATGCCACGCTCATCAGCTAAATTTCTTTATGAGCCAGTTGGTATCTAATTTCCAGGTATAAACTAACTCTAGTACTCTTGGTCAGAAGGGGAACTAAATGGAAGAATGGCTTATATAACTTTGAGAAGCATATTGAAGAATACTTATTAGTGGGGATAGATCATTCCTTAATTTTGGAATGTACAGGGCATATATAACTTTTCTAAAGTCTTTGAGGGGATCCCTGGGTGGCGCAGCGGTTTAGCGCCTGCCTTTGGCCCAAGGCCAAAGATCCTAGAGACCTGGGATCGAGTCCCATGTCGGGCTCCCGGTGCATGGAGCCTGCTTCTCCCTCTGCCTATGTCTCTGCCCCTCTCTCTCTCTCTCTCTCTCTCTCTCTCTCTCTGTGTGTGTGACTATCATAAATAAATAAAAACTTTAAAAAAAAAGTCTTTGATATTTTCAAATAAAAGACTCCACAATTTTACTGTGTTAAAATAAGGTAATTATGAAAATTGCAGTTATTTCTTAAAATATGAGGTGAATTATACATAAATAGTATAATTTGTACTCTTTTTACTTGGCTTTTTGTCATGCCCTCTATTATAGTCCTGCCAATCTGAAATAGTATGAACTTTGGACATTAGTAGTAAAGGCAAAATAGCATTTGTTAATGATCTCAGAGTAAGAATTCTTACTGTTTTTAGCTAAACTGCTTTATTTTTTTGTTTAAGATTTTATCTATTTATTCATGCGAGACACAGAGAAAGAGGCAGAGGGAGAAGCAGACTCCATGCAGGGAGCCCGATGTGGGACTCGATCCCGGGACTCCAGGATCATGCCCTGAGCTAAAGGCAGACGCTCAACCGCTAAGCCACCCAGCCGTCCCTTAGCTACACTACTTTAAAAGACAAATTCTAGATATTGGAAAACATCAGAAATATATGAAATATGCCTCGTTCAGATATTTTGCTACGATTTTCCCCATTAAAATATAACGTACACAATAGATATTAAATAATAATTCATAAATTTTATTCAAATATTTTTAACTTAATGAAATAATTATCAGGCAGCCAAGTTTCCTGGAAACACCAACTATCTTTCAAGAGTTAAAATATTTCCTCTTTTGACACCTTCTCTAGGTATCCCTGCTCCCAGTTAGAGTTAAACTACTTACTCCTATTCTTTCTCCTCATATTGGTGTTTCGATTTGTTGTGTGTTTTTAATTTATGGGTCTACCATTTTCTACTTAGTTCCTTGGATCCTCTGATTACTCTTTGAGTCCATAATGGCTCTTCCAAAGTAGGTGTTTAATAAATACCTGTTGAATAATTAAATCAGAAAAAGTTGATAGATACTAATCACCTGAGATTCAAAGCTACCCTGTCCTGCCCACCACCAATCCCTAGTCTGCCTGTTGTGCTGTACTGGCCTCCCTGTTTTCTGTCTTGACCTGGTACCCAGTGGTGGTTCTGCTATCTCCTGATGCTAACCATTCACTGCAGTCAGACTTGCCTCCACTCCATTCCCCATGCACACTACACTGGTCTCCTTGTGACTTTCCTTATTTTGTTACTGATAATTTTGCTGTCAATTCTTCTTCCTAATACAGCTTTTTCCATGAAGCCTTTCCTTAGTATACAGACCTCTGGTGATATATCAGTTCCATATATGGCTCCGTAAAATAACAGATTTTAATCATACCCCTTCTATTAATGGTTTTTATTGTCTTGTATTTATTTCATGTACCTTATCGTCCTAGCTAGGTCATCATAGGACATTAACCACCAGGAGCACTAAAAATTGAAACAGTCAAAAATAATTGTGTGGGAAAACAAGACTAGGAAATTGCTACTGATAATAGTAATTTTTATTTATTTACTTTTAATATTTTTTAAAGATTTTATTTATTTATTCATGAGAGACACAGAGAGAGTCAGAGACATAGGCAAAGGGAGAAGCAAGGCTCCCTGTGGAACCCACTCATGGAGTTCAGTCTCACAACCCAGAGATCATGAGCTGAACCAAAGTCAAGAGTTGTCCACTCAACCAACTGAGCCACCCAGGTGACCCAAGAACAATATTTTTCAGACATCTTTTAGCTAGAGAATTCTCTCGTCTAAGGAAATCTTATCAGAAATGCCCAAACTAAGATTTTTTATTCAATTATTTATTCATGAGAGACACAGAGAGGCAGAGACATAGTCAGAGGGAGAAGTAGGCTCCCTGTGGGGGCCCAATGTGGGACTCAATCCCAGGACCCTGGGATCATGACCTGAGCTGAAGACAGGCACTCAACCACTGAGCCATCCAGGTGCCCCAGAAATGCCCAATTTTTTTTTCTTTTCTTTTCTTTTTTTAAGATTTCATTTATGTATTAGAGACAGAGAGAGAAGCAGAGACACAGGCAGACGGAGAAGCAGGCTCCATGCAGGGAGCCCGACGCGGGACCCGATCCCGGGTCTCCAGGATCACACCCTGGGCTGAAGGTGGCACTAAACTGCTGCAACACCCAGGCTGCCCAAGAAATGCCCAATTTAAAAAGCACAGCTCTGAAGCACAGCAAATGTTAAGCCCAGTAATTTCAACTTTGAGATCAAAGTCCAGAATCTGATAAAGTGACTAAGAAAGCCCCTTCACCTTCTTAAAGCAGGAATGGGGACTCTGACTTCCTTCTCAATATAATTAGCAGTAAGAGAACTAAGAATAACTATTAATATCAGCCAGGTATTAAAGCATTTCCTACTTTTCCTCTTTCTTGCTCTGAGCTCTTAATTTTTTATTTTTCAGAGCATATGTGTACTGTGGTTTATTTTGATGACTGCATGTCCATACATCAGTGTAAAATATCCTGTGAGTCCATGGGAGCATCCAAATATCGCTGGTTCCATAACGCCTGCTGTGAGTGCATTGGTCCAGAGTGTATCGACTATGGTAGTAAAACTGTCAAATGTATGAACTGCATGTTTTAAAGAAGGAGAAGAATGTAAACCAATTTAGTCAACAAGAAAGATATAAAAAGCTATTTGGTGAAGTCTACTGGTTGCACTAGAATGCCGGCAAGTTAAGAAGATGAAAGACTTTGGACTGAGTTAAAGTGTGACAAATTCAGTAATGTGGTAAATCATAAGTAAAACTACTCTAGTTGATTTTTTAGCCCACTGGCAATAAACCCCCTCCTCTAAATACATTTACAACCTGGTCATATGAGAAGCAAGCACACAGAGAATTCCTTGAAAGATCTGAGAGTCCTGACATAAAGCCTGGGTCATTTTTTTTCTAGCATTCCAAAGTCTTTGATTTTGAAAATGTTAGAGCACATTAACATAAGTTATAATTTCTTCATTTACTACTACTGGGACACTGTCATTCACTGTGCCTTGTCTCCTTTATCTCTTCTATAAATAGAGTAGATATTCAAATATATCACCCTGAGAACCCACATAAAAATCACTGTTAAAAGCTTAATTTCAAACGTTGTAAAACTTTGTTAGTTTTAGAAAGTAAATGCTTACTACATTTTACAATTTAAAACTTTTACGTAGTAGAATCTATCCTGTAATACACATGCTGACAGAACTTTGGGCAAAGTTTCTCCATCTCTTACATCCCTCTGCCCAAAGTGATTTTGTAGGTAGGTAGTGATGAAGAATTTTGAACAAGAATTTCAAGGCACACCTATGACACTGCATTAAATATTCTGCTAGGATAAATAGAGAGTTAAGGCATTTCTCTATCTTAAGGTACCAGCTTAACGAGCACTAGGAAGGGAAATGCCTGCCAAGTCAGACTCCACTTAAAGCACCAGAGAAACAGCTTGTCTCATTGTACAGAGATGGTGAGGTGAAAAGGAAAAGCTGTAATCTTGGGTAGAATGAATGAGCCTCTCAGCCTTAGCATGGGCAGAGCCATGTTCCCCAATAATGAGTGATAGGAGGGAATAAAGAAGGAACTTACAGGTGTGAGCAGGGAAGGTTGAAAATGCTGGTAGTTCTTATTGGAAACAAACTTAAAACTATTTACATTAATTATTTTGTTATATTGTAATCTTTCCTTTAGGTTTCTATCTGGATCGAATGTTCTCATTAAACAAGTATAATCATACAGTGGGAGGTTAAGATTATGAAATGAAAGAGAAATCTGTTCAAGGCAATGTTATTTCAAATACACCATAGACTATTTTTGTTTTATATGTTCCAGTAATGAGAAGCTTAAATACGATGTGCCCTTCATTGTAATAAAACCTGTCTTCAAGCATGAATCTAAAACATAAATATTTATAACACAGAGACTCTTTACAAAATTATTGATTTCTTCAGTACATTATGAATTACACGTAACTTGTAGGAATACCTTTTTATATGTCTAAGTATTTTAGTACATAAAAATAGATGATGCTGTTAGACACTTTGTATTCATTATATGAACAGTAGTAGTTAGTTACAAGATCATATGTAATATCATGATTAACCATCATAGAATCTAAAGCCTTAACACTTTTTCTTGTTCTTTTTGGACAACTCTAATGAATACTCAAGGTACTTTAGCCTTTTCAGAAACTTTTGGCCTTTTAAAAAAAGCTAAAATTTAGCTCTTGTATGTATTTTTTTAATAGCAAAACATTGGAATATCTGTTTCTTACTTTTATCTAGAATGCCTCTGTTTAAAAGTGCCTTGAAAACATTTTAGCTCCCCTTCTTCATTAATGCCTGTAAAGCTAAAGGTTTTCTTAAAGCCTTTTAAACTTAAAAAAGAGAGAGTTTTAAAAGAATCTGCATCCAGCAGCTTCATTTCCACTTTGCTATTCTTCAAAATAATTTCATACTTATGAACAGAGAAATCCTTTTGTGTTTATTGACAGCATGCTTAATGTTGCCTTAAAAATGCCAACAAACATTTCTTAACCACATTTATCATCTTGATTAGGCTTCCATTCTTAAATTTTTAAGTGTAATATCTCTTCTGCCCCTATACTGGAAGGGTAATTTCTTGAACCATATTGTATTTGAACTAATTTTCCTTACAACTTTTTCTCCCAATGGAAATTAATCCTAAGTGTAATGGTAAATTTTATATTCAGTTTTGCTTAGTTTTTGTGGTTTATAATCGGGTTGAAAGAGTTCACCTAGAAGATTCCATTTCCAGTTTATAATGTATTTCAGGTTTTGAATAACAATATTTTCCAAATTAAAATGTAAGTGTATTTTCCCCCACTAAAATGTAGACCTTGTATTACCATTCTAAAAGTATAGTTCACTTCCATATTGAAACTCTGGTAAAATTCTTTTTTAAAAAATCAAAAATTATGTTGTTAACCTTTTTATAACTAGATTTAAAAAAATAAATAAATCTCAATCAGCAGCTATTATAAAAGCCATATATAAAAGGTTCTTTCCTAGAGTAAGACATGTCTTTGCTAGGTAGATTTTTGGTCCTTTCCCACCCCATAGCACCTAATTATTGGAGAAATTATACTCAAAATAGTGGCACCAAATCCAACGATAATTCAAACAAAATAAGTTTTTGTTTACATAGAATGCTATAAAATGCTTTCATTTAGAAAAACTATTTCTAAAGATTCAGAAAACAAAATTGGTAAGATACTAGAATTTTTGAACAATTATTTATAAAGCAGAGTAGCATCAAAATAGGGAAAAGAAACTAAGACTTCTGAAAAATTAGGTAAATATAAATAAGCCACATATTTAAAGTTTGTTTTTGTGACACTTCTTTGAAGATTTTTAAAAATCTATTCTACATTCCCCAGAGTTTATGTTAATTGTGTTTCAAATGATCTACAACATACAGAATTATGTATTTTTTCTTTGGTTGTCCCTATAAGCAAAGGAATATTTTAATAAAAAATTAAAATGAGTGTGTCATGCTTTTTTTTTTAACTTCAGCATAGAAGAAACACCAGAATAAGTTTGAGATTTCTGTCTAGTGAAGTTATAGTTTAAACAAAGCATGTCCCCTTGTCTCTCGATGTCCCTACAGATTGTGTTGAAACAAATGCTCTTTAACAGTATGCTTTCTGCCTTTTCATGTGCTTTATTCCAATACCGGGGAGATTTTGAAATGAAATACTTAACATTCTCCTTGTTCCTCAAGCCTCAAGAGAACTATCTGATGATGATTGGAAGGAGTTACAGGAAGGTCAAGGTAGGAAAATCACTCCTCACGCTCCCACAGTAATAATTCTCACAGGGTTGTGTTATTAGATTTGAGAGTCCGTAGGCTATCCTCTATGGTAGAATCAGTGTTATTTCACAGAATCTACATTCTGAAAGTCTAGTGGACAGGAGGATCTAGAGAAGGAAAAATTCAAGAGGACAGGCTGCCAGCCCAAGTGACTTAACCGAATGAGAGATCTAAGTAATTTGGGGAGTAGAATTCATTTCCAGAAGGACTGTACATTTGATGAGGAAAGTTGTTGTTTTGCTGAAAGTGTCCAGCGGCAGTGAGCCATGTGGCACTAAGAGGCAGAGGGTCAGTCTGGAGGTGCAGAGTTGGGATGGAGCATCCCAACTGGGAAAATCAGAAGGCAGGCAGGCTGTGGTATGGCTGGCTCCACCCAGCAGCCCTCACTGGCGGGTTTTAAGTTCCTTAAGCCAGCAGACACTCCGTTAGCTTATAGGTGTTAGGAGTTATGATTCTTAGGCCTCTTAGATATTTCCTAACCAATTAAAAATTCATTTTACATCTTTTTAGTTTGAAGTCTGTGCTTGAAGGATGGAGTCAGCAACAACCCCAAGGTCCAGCTTTTGAGGTGAGAATTCTCAGTGCAAAAGCAAAGAGAAAAGATTTCTGCCCTCCCAGAGTGGTGCTGGGACCCAGAAAGAAGCCTGGAAAAGTGCAAAACCCTCATCTGTCACTGACAGAAGTGTCCTCATTTGATTGAAGTTAGCCACTGAATTTAGACACAGTCAGTCACCACTGAAATTCCTCTGTGACAAAAATGATAGCATTGTCAGCCCTCCTAATGCACATCATTCTGCAGCCAGAGTGGTCATTCTAAAACACATGTGCACATGGCTGAGTCAGTTAAGCGTTATCTTCAGCTCAGGTCATGATTGGGTCCTGGGATGGAGCCCCACATCAGGCTGCCTGCTCAGCAGGGAGTCTGCTTATCTCAGTCTCCCCCCCCCCCCCCGCCGCCCACCCCTCCCCACCACTCATATTCTCTCTCTCTCTCTCTCTCTCTCAAATAAGTAAATAAAATATTTGAAAAAAAAATGCAGGTAATGACTATCCGAACCCTAGTTCCAATTCCAAGCAAATTGCAAGGCTTTGCCTAAATTGGCTCCGGTTACCTAGTAGGAAGTAAGAACAAAGCAGACAACCTGCCTTTTGTTTTCTAGCAGTCTCACCTGCTTCAGGGGATTCTCCAGGAGAGAAGCAGGTGCAGAATTGAATGCCTTTGCCAGAAAGACAAGAGGCCTGAGTCTCCCAGACCACAGAGTGGAGCCAGATCTAGGCTGGATCTCAGGACTCTGAGACCATGACCTGAGCTGAGATCAGGAGTCAGATGCTTAATCGCCTGAGCCCCTCATTATTTTCTTTAAATCAAGTAAAATCTGATCCAGAGCCCTATCACATCCAAAATCTGCCAAGAGCAAGGCTCTGTTACCTACCCTGGATCTCACAGAATCCTAGAGGCAAGTTTGGGGACCCTAGACAGTGAGGGTTTGGCTGCTGATATCCGTAAGTTGAAACCTCTAGAAAGAGGCAACTTCAGACTTTGAAGCAGGGCAGTTTGGGGCACATTGAGGCCTAGGGCACAGACCCCATGGTCATTCATATGCAAGGGTGCCTGGGTGGCTCAGTTAAGTGTCTGCCTTAGGCTCAGGTCATGATCTCTGATCAGGTTGGGATGAAGCCCCATGTCAGGCTTCCTGCTCAGCAGGGAATCTGCTTTTCTCTCTCTCTCTCTCTGTCCCTCTTCCCCTCCCTCTTTCTCTCTCTCTCTCTCTCTCTCTCTCTCTCTCAAACAAAATCTTTAAAAAATAAAAAAGGGAAGGGTTTGCAGGGAGTGGCAGACTACAAAAGTGTCTTTGAATTTCTACTTGTAAAACGACTTTTGCAAGATTTCTCTGGTGCCTATCATTCAGTTTGATATTAGCTAGAGGGGAGATAAACAGGCAGTCATGAGAACCTTAAAGAGTATAGGAATGGGCACATATCTGTTGCTTATATCAAAATGATGAAGGCTTTCGTTCAGCCTTCCAGACAAAGAGTAAGCATTTTTCTGCTTGACTGTTTTCCTCGTTTTCCCTGCTGACCAATCTTCGGTTCTTAAATCTTTAAGGTTGCTGAAGGGCAAAGGGCTCATCTTCTATAACTTCAAGCTGACGGTGTTATAGAGATGTCCCTACTTATGGACCGAAATTGGTCACTCTCTGTTTCTATGAATAATAATCACAGAAGACCACCAGAGTGGACATCAAGGAAGGACTGATCATCTGTTAGCTGGGAAAAGGAGTCAGGAACTGTTTACATGTACTTCGACAATAGGAGAGAATAAAGCAAAAGAGATAACACATTAGGATTAATATGATAAAAGTAAGTGTGATAAAAAAACCCTTTAAGGTCTACTTCCCAACCAATCGTTAAGTGACAGTGTAGGGTCTTTGAGAGCCCCAATCTCTTTACTAATATCTGTAAGTGATGCTCTTATATTTTTGTCATAATCCGGAATGGAGACATAACATTCTGTTTTAATAATGATATTCTTTCCTCCTTGTCCTGCTATTAAGATATATCTAATGCCATTCTGTTTTGTAGAACTGCTTTAAGCATTTGAATCACTTTGGTGTTTAATAAATAATGTAACGCTGGGGTACCTGGATGGCTCAGTTGGTTAAGTGTTGGACTCTTGATTTCAGGTCATGATCTCAGGGTCCTGAGATTGACACCCTCATTGGGCTCTGTGCTGGTCATGGAGCCTGCTTAAGATCCTCTCTCCCTCTCCCTCTGCCTGCCCCTCCCCCCATCTCTGCTCTTTCACACTTGCTCTCTCTCTCACACACACAAAAATGATAATGTATTGCAGTTTTGAAGTCATTTCAGGCCTTAATTGTGTAGCATATGTAGTACCCCATCAAATAGACTATTTTGTTTATTGGCAAGCAATCAGGTAATTAATAAGAGGCACTTCTATGGAAACAAAAAAATTTAAATCAGTGGTTAGAACAAATTACAAATCCAGTGTCTGAGTCTCAAATACTGCCAGTGAAAAGATTTTTTTAGATGTCAGGCTTAAAGCATCCTCAGATGGAGTGGGACAAGCAGTGGGAATCAGATGAATTTTCCTGATTTGTAATTCAAATGTCTCTCTGATGATACTTTTTTTTTAGAGAGAGATTTTATTTATTTATTCATTTGAGAGAAACAGTGAGAGAGAAAGAATGAGCAGAGGGAGGGGCAGAAGGAGAGGGAGAAGCAGACTCCCTGCCAAGCAGGGAGCCCAATGCAAGGGCTCTATCCTAGGACTCTGAGATCATAACCTAAGTCCAAGGCAGATGCTTAACCAGCTGAGCCACCCAGGTACCTTTCTAGTGATCTGTTTGAATGGCCTGTAGTTCAACAGGCACAAAGATTGTCTGTACATAACTTTAGTGGCAGTTTCTCTGAAGCTGACCTCAAGTTGTCCAGCATCAGTTTGCAGGGGTTTAGGAAGAAAGGGCAGTTTTAGTTTTTAATGGCTTTAAGTCAAGAGAGTGAAAGAAGACTGGAAACCTTAAAGAGCCATAGCCAGATATTTAAGGAAACCACAAGAACTCAAGACCTAGTTATAATAACTAGTATTAAAATTGATATCTATAAAAATGTGTTATTGAAACACATTTTCTCTCTATAATCACCCTCATTTTTATCAAAGGTAGCCAAATCAAGACTAATTTGTTTGTAAAATAAGTCTAATTGTAACAAACATGGCCTTATTACTTACATAAGTTCAGCAAGAATGGTGATTGATCATATAGATCTTTTAAAATATGCTTTCCTAGAACTTTTTATAAGGAATCTCTAGATTGCCACACCAAATACTTGCCATCAGTCTCTGCCTACAATACCTATGGAGATGGGTGAATTTCTCTCTTCTCAGGGTCTTAATATCCCGAAGCTGACCTTTATTCACCAGATAAGGCTGCTGAGAACTCTGTAAGCAAGATATCAGGCTGATATTTCCAGGGAGGATTTATTGGCTCCATCAAGTCAATCTGAGTTTCTTAAAGCTGTCTGGTTATATCTGAGTCTATGCATGTCTCTCCCAAATATGACAGGCTAGTCAAAACCTTGGTAATGTAACCAGTGTTTCCAATGTGTCCTTTTACAAAAAGAACAGGTTCATTGAACTTATGCAAATAATTATATTGCTATGAAAGAAAGAATACTCACTGAGAGTTTCTGAATTTCAAAGAGTCCAGGTAGGGAGAAAAGTTAAAGGTTACAATTTGTTCACAAAGTCATATTTTATTATAGTTCTGTAAGTTACAGATATCTTAAGAGAAAAAACTTCATTAAATCTAGAATAGCAAACATTAGAGAATCAGCAGTATTCCAAACAAGAGTCATAACAGAGTGATAATCATCTTCCTTAATTCATTCAATCCCATGTTACTAATTCTCATTCTCTTTTGATGCACCTTTCCCATTAGTTCTGGAAATTCCTTTTTTATTTTTAAAGAGTTTATGTATTTATTAAAGAGAGATCACAAGCAGCAGGGAGGAGTAGAGATAGAAGCAGACTCCCTGCTATGCAGGGAGCCCAATGCAAGACTCGATCCCAGGGTCCTGGGATCATGACCTGAGCCGAAGGTAGATGCTTAACTGAGCTACCCAGGTGGCCTAGTTCTGGAAATTCATATCCAGTTT